TACACGACGACAGACAGATTCAATCGGCGGTATTAAAGAGTCGAAGTTTTGAATTATCGTATACCCCCGTTTTATCGTAATACGGAGCCGTATTACACGACACAATGAACTTTTAGTTTCGACCTTGCGAGCGCACCCACGTCCACGCCTACGTCATATTCAGAGAAGAAAATCGATGACGGGTATTTTACTCGTCGATTTGGAGCAGGAACAACATAGAGGAAGGCGACACGACGCCGCGTGCAACGCAATAGCTTCGAATCGATCGGCGCGCAAACGTGTTCGCGGCTGTGTCACGTGACCATTGCGCTTCGGAGCAACGAGCGCAAGGGCGCCGCGACGAAGCGCCGTAACATCGTACGTTCGTGACACCGTGCTGCTCGTGTGTACGCGTATTTCGTGTGCTCTGTTCGAATGACAGCGAAGTTCCCGAATTCACGACCACCCCTGCTGTCGACAAAATGTCGGTGAGCGTGTGAAGTTTGGCGGAACGAGTGTTTCTCGGGAAAAATGTGAGCCGAAACGTGGATCGCGGAACTGAGCAACTCTTGGCCGGAAGCAAAGACGGACCAGGGGTGAGTCACTGTCACGATCAATTCTTTCTTTTCTCCTGTTCCCCTTTACCGAACGCGAAGGCCACGGCCACGTGCTGTACCCGTGCCTGGAACAACGTCTCGAGCGGACATAACCTCAAACGCGTAGACAAGCGTCACCGCCGCGAGGTTAGGATTTGTCGAAGCATTAAAATTGTTTCATTGTCGTGGATTTTGCGAAGTGCCGTGCCGTTGAGCGATAAGACGAAGATACTACATTGACTCGGAATATTTCATATGACGTAACCTATTGCAACTTCGTAACGGACTAATTACGTGCCAACGAATCGTCAATAGTCGTCGGATTGGTTATCAGAAGTACCGGTATGTGAATTGTGCACGATGTTCTCGAGTGTTTCGGCATTTGGAAATTGCTCTTAGATATATCGCTTCCTGCTATATTATCGGAGAATAGATTTTTATTTATAATTAGACTCGATACACTTATAGCCTTAACCAGCCTGCAAGCGTATATGTTTCCTAATCCTTCTTCTGTCTTGCAGCATGAAATCCTGACTGAAATTATGCAAACGGCACAATTGTTTGTGAAATTAACCAGTGTAAATGGGAGAAGATGTTGAAAGTGCCTTATTTAGCGTGCAACGTGTCAATAATTACGTATCAATAATAGAAGTATCGTCTGTGAAAACTATCGCGTGGGACACTTGGAAGATTTAGTGGCTGAAATAAGTAAATAGATACGCTGTTTCCGGGAAATCGATAGATCGAAGAATCGAGGGCGACAGTAGTAATCACGAGGACTGGTCACATGTCTAATTTCATGCCGGCCGGCTCAAGAATTTCCATCGAACAAATTGCGCGGCCCGAGTCACTCGTACGGTTTAATAGGGTCAACTACGAAATAATTAAATTTAATGCAATCGAGAATGAAATTCAGGGGACGCATGTCTTTCGTCTCACGCGACAATAGGGCGCGGACTTCAGATAAATATCCAACCCGGTCGACGAATTTTTCGATTTTTCAGATTAATTCTGAAAAAATGGAATTACGAATAGCGTCAAATTTTATCGCGGGATCTTTACGGTTTTAGAATCACCAACGTTGTAATACTTGTGAAATCGATCTTGATAATGGTAGTTAATAAAGGTGAACGTTTCTCTTACATCAACGTGGAAATGTAGTAGCCATTTTTCTTAATTTAGAATTAGCGTCGATACTCGTTAAATTGGTCTTGAAAAATGAAAGTTAATAAACGTGAACGTTTCTCTGACATCGACGAGGAAATGTAACAGTTATTTTTACGAATTCAGGTACTCGTGCACTGCGCGATATTTATATAGCGAATTATATTATCAGTTAGCATGTACTAATAATACATTTCTCGGTAACTATGTATCATCTAGCGTATGGAATCGATTTTGTACGAAGCTTCGAATAACAAGGTGCATGCGAAATGAAACATCCAGTGCCACCTGTTGTACGTATAGTCGGTAGACTCGATAGGAAGGAAGCGAGTAGAACACATTCTATATAGAAGGTTAATCGATCGGCGAAAATTGACCCGTTCCATCGTGTCGACCTTGCATTTTCACGAACACACTGCTCGTGGCGTTAGAGTATGAATAAAACAAAAAGAAACAGAAAAAAAGATAAAAAAGAAATTTTCATCGAAACGAAGTCGATATCTCGAACAATTCAAAGGTCGTTTATTCCTTTTTACTGGTGTTGTTATCGTTAATGATTTATCAACAAATTCGATAATTAACCTACAAAATACTTGTAAGAGCTTTGTCATGCGATATGTTAATTGCATATGCAACGTAATCTTAATGTTTCCAAACATTCTCGATCCTTGTTATCCTCGAGTGTACATCGTTTCCTGGATTTTCATTTCGATTTCCACATTTCCAAAACGAGAGTCATGCGCCTAAGAAATACTCGAGGCAAAGGAAACGTTCTTAACCGTCTCTTCGTCACGCGTCCCCGCAACGGATTTTAATTTCAAATCATTTCGGTACGAAGGCGAATCGCACGTACATTTTGCAAAATCGTAAAGGACAAAGACACGTATGCGATTTTTACGTCAGAAAAAATTCGCGCGTGCCTCATCGATCGTTTTAATCGGCGGCCTCGAGGGATTTTTCTAACGGAAAGAAAGTCATCGAAAGTTTTCCTTATGCGTCAGCATGTGTACATTCGCTCTCTAAATGCAAGTGTTCCGATGACAATAAGAACGAGAGGAACGGGTTGGGTCGCGTGATGCGCGAGTAGTAAAAAAGTTTGAAGAAGAAACAATTCATCAGCGCTCTACCACGGCCGCGTTTCATAATGAAAAGTAATAAGCATCCTGCAGACACGCATGACTCGCCTTCGGACCCCAATTAACACCTATTACCCGTTCGTGTCGGCCATTGTTTATTTGATCTCGTTGACATTATATGATATTCGGTCAAAAAGAACATGTCGACGCCGCGCCATTGTATATAATACACCGAGCATCGTAACGCGAGCGTCGTCATTGTCACGTTTCCTCCTTCGTAGTGTGCCTGCAATCCTTGCGGACTTCCTACCCGACATACGGCCGATTAAAACGCAGCGGTGGTGGGGCCTGGAAGATAGTCAATGCCTCGTGGTCCGGTCGCCTTTCAGTGTCGACCGTTCTTCTCGACCGGCATGATTTCTTAAACTTCACGGATCTAGCTTCTCCATATACTTACCAGCAGTCATCGAGCACCGGTCTCGGGACTTTTACCAGACATTTACCTTGGAATACCCTTCTGGAATATCGTTGGGAAATCGAACTTTTATCAGAACAGTTCTTCGACTCTATCTTCCACCTTTCGTCGAATTATTCCATTAACGAGACCGGGATAAGTGGTAATTTTCATTCATTCCGATTTATTTGCTCTCGTATCGTTGGTTTCCGGACGTGAACTTGGCGAGACTTGCTTTCGAAAGGATCACGCGTAATAAAGGCACAAGGTACACACAGGTGTGCGTGTTTATGCGCAAGGAGCCCGTGACTGGTTGCGAATTGTGTAAACACTGCGGGCGGGATTGGAAAGCAATCACGAAGGGCGAAACTCGAATTGGCCACGTGCTTCGTCGCTGTAAGTAACTCGGTTGCTGGTTATTTTATTTATAATTCGCCATCCAGCCGCTTCACAATGGAGATTACGTGTCTGTTTATTCTCCTCTGCTCGGTTTCGTTTACATCTGCTTCGCCGATCATACGTGGAAACGAAATTCGGCGAGATAGCTGTGCTCTTTGTATCCGCATTGACTTGTATTTGCTTTAATCTGCGCATATTTTCGCTTCGTCATTGTTCTTACGATTCCACGTTTTAATCCTCGGCGAATTTCCGAAACCGGTCGAACGAATGGCGTTGTTCCGTCGCTCTTACGACACGAAGATAAAGTTATATCAGGAGGAACCGCGATTAAGATTTCCATGACATTACGTGCTCACCCGGCCGAGATTACGTTAAGAAGCATTTCGATTTAATTTCGATTTTGTTTCGATTTCGACTCAATGTCGATCACACGGTCAGATAGGAATAAAAGCGAGGTCGATCTTCGAATAAAAACAAAACGATCGCGAACCTTCCTTTCGGAAACAACATCAGCGGTAATCTAAATGTAATTTCGCGCGATAAAAGGCACAATCGAGAATTCGAGGAATCGTATCGATTAATTGCTACTCGAACCGCAGAAACGTCCACGCGATACCGAACCATCGATCTTCGGCTAAGTATAACAGCTACGATCGATCCGGTAATCAGGATTTCCCCATATCGAGGCACGAAATATCGCGTGTATCAGGAATTACCATCAATTATGCTCAATTGTGTAATATCGATACGAATTGTGTACGGATGAACGACAAGAGATATACACCACACAGTCGTGTCACTCAAGCACGTGTCGTTCGGTGTCTCTGGGAACACGAACAAAGGCTTTGTGGATAATAAATTGCCTGTTTAAATACACGAGCCAAGCGTACAATGGGCATATTTCCGGTGAAAAATTTGCATCACAATCTTGTCGAAAGCGTCGTTCATCGTGACTAATAAGTTCCAACTGAAAAAATGTCGCTACCTCAGCGAAATTTCAATACTCGTGTCGTACATCAGCAGGGTGAATCACGCGTAGGATTCGAATCGGGCAAAAAGCTGGAGACATCAATTACGTATGTAACGTACATAATGTATATAATGTATACAATGTCTATGTATTGGCTCTTCGGCTGCTCCAACAGTCGCGGTAGTCGTAAAGGAACAGAAAATTACTCGCGAATTACTCGGCTGATATGCCGTTATAGAGGAAATCCGTTGTCCGTTAGCCTATGTATTTATAATCGAACGGTATATTATTTGCTCGAATGTCGCTAGTTTCCTTGTCATCGCGATGCTAATTAAAATTGTTTGCTCGCTCGTGAACTGACCGCGACGAGCATTACGTGCACGTTTGTTACACGGTTGTTACAAGAAACGGAGTACCATTAGAGGTAAACGCTTGCGGTATTTGTTTCCCAGAAACACGTACCAAGTCGTTCGAATAATCCCTTTGTCTTTTCGCGGGATCTGAGCTTCGACCTTCCGCGGGAATCATGAAACGCGTTCGTCGGATGCCGCGTATATGAGTTTCGCGTCGGAATTCCATCACGCCCTCGCAAGCACGCTATTAAATTCCCCGCGTTTCATTACTATCGATCCCTTTCTTTTAATAAGCACGCGTGACTGAAACGAGTGAAGAAAACTACCAGTCACGCGAGCGAGAAGTGATGAAAAATGATGAAAAATGGGAAATTTCGACACCGTTTCCCCAGTCGTTTCACGTCACTCGTTATTTCTGTCGCTGGTATCGGGATATAAATCGTAATCTCTAACTACTGTCATGGATCGCGTAGTTACAGTCGAATCACGTATAATTACCGCGAGGTTGAGGCAAAAGCATCTCGATGAGCATGCCAGTTCGAGGAAATTACATAAAAACGTAAAAATTGTCCGATCACTGTAACGTGGAATAGCTACAACCGCAACGCCATAATTGATTTTGAACTGCGTGTACAAAAATTTCGATCTTGATAACGTGCTAACTCACGATTGCACAGTTTCACGTGAATCGATTACGTATGCTAATTAGCTAGCCGGCGGGCTGTCTACGGTACGATAATAACGATATGGATGGAATGAAGCTAATAGCTAAATCGTCAAAGCGATTTGTGCCTAGTTTAACGATGACTATTAATTTCTATTAGCGATCCAGTTATTTGCTATCGCATAATTCCGTCTAATAACCGCCTACACGTTATTAACGTGTAATTTAATCAAAATGCGATTTGTAACGATTCCAGAAGATATTCATATTCAATTCCTCTCTATTTCTTCACCGCAGGTGTTCCACGAGGAAGCTCTTCTTTTCAGTGGAACAGCGATCAACCGGCGAAAAGATGGTGGACTCCCAGAGGTGAGAATTTTCATTTCTGCGAATAGAACGCTGTAATCCATCACTGTTAACCGAATTAATCTCTGTCATTAAAGTGAATCGCCTATAAACCGCTACATGGTATCAACAACAACGATAAGAAAAAGAACAAGTCTGGCGTAAACCGCGATTAAAGACTCTACCTAGATTAAGCCCGAAATATGAGCAGCTTTGGATAGTCACCTGTCGAACGTACTAAAGGCACCTTTGCCTTCGGTCGATTCAATTTCATCGATTCTCTTTGACCAGAACCTTTTGACACGACCGAATAGTCCAAGAAGCCCGTCAAAGAGACGGATGAAGAAATAATTGCCTTTGCTACGACGTCCAGCAGGTGGCAATCCAACGCCATTTTTCCTCTGCACCCATTCAACGCGTAATCGTCGCGATTAACACTTTTCATTTTTCTTTCCCGCCATATTGTCTCTCGTTCTCCATAACACAATCGATTCCTTGGTTTCTATATAAAAATATCAATTGTATCTATTACGCAGATACGAAGATCGTACTATATATAAGACACGATCACCCTGCAGCCTGCGAAAACTGAGAGGTAAAGGACTTTTCAACCTATCAAATCGTAAAAAGAACGTATTTCGTAGAGTATAGTAGGAGAAAAATATTTGCTCGTGAAGAAAAGATGTCTAGTCGTTAAAGTTACAGAGAGCATTATAAACTCGTTTTGCGACGATGGTACGTCGGTCACAGAACACGTTTGCGTTTGCAGACATGGTGCCGGCGAGGGTGGTGCTGTACATGCTGTCCTTCTCGGGATTCACGGTCTCGTTCATGATGAGGAACGACATCAACATTGCCATGGTGGCGATGGTGAAACCGCCATCCACGATATCGAAAACCAATGACGCGGTGACGTCCCAGCACTGTTACATAACGCAGAACGCATCGTCCACCAACAACAGCATACCGATCAGACCTGAGGTAGGATCGTTACGAATATTTGCAAGATCTCGTATCGTGTGAATTTTTCCTGCTTTTCAACGTGGCGAGAAACGTCTCCTATTCTATGATTCCATAATCTAACGTCATCGTTCATCATGCACTTGCAGCGTTGCTCGAACTGTCTACGCAGAGCGAAGTCTTCAGGGATGTTCCTCAGGCACGACGAAGATTTTCTAGGCGTCAAACGTTACAGCTTATTGGATTTTCTTTTTCTATTTCCCATATTTCGATTTTCCGAAACGTAGCAGATAACGTAGCGTAATTTTTTCTCAAAAACTGTTTACATTTAACTACTCCCTCGCAATGGCGGTTACGTTGCAGAGGTCGCATTGATCACGATCGATAATAACCAGAAGCGAATTGTCACGTAACATCACGCGCCTCAACTTCTTCGTTAAAACGATGTTACGAGAGCTTATTAGTAGAACTTAATAATCCTCGTGACTCGTTAACTTTTTCCGTCATTAGGTTGAAACTGGTAGAACGATTAAAGCCGCGATCATGTTACGATTTACTTGTACATGGCTAGAGTCGAGCACGATGGTTTCTCGAATGGATATTGCCAATAGTGATTTCTAATCGCAGTTTCCGCAACGATTACACCTGATCGCTGTTTCTAGATACATAATTACTGCTTCTCGATGAAGTATATTCTGCGTGTCGCATTCACGGATCTAGAATTATGATTTTCTTTTTCCTTTTTTGTCCGCAGGATCAAGGAGAGTTTGATTGGAGCCCAACCATCCAATCTGCCATTAGCGGTTCATTCTATTGGTGTTATATATTATCGCAAGTAGTCGGTGGAGTACTCACGCAGTATTTTGGCACAAAAACGGTGTTTGGTGGTTCGCAGCTGATCACTGCACTCTGTAGTTTATTGATGCCCTCCGCAGCTGGAATTCATTATGGCGTCATGATCGCGCTGCGCAGCATACAGGGTATCGCTAGTGTAAGTTTCACAGAACAGAAAGGAACGAAATGAAAATTTGAAAAAGAATTTGAGAGAAAAATGAATTATCGTGATTGCACTAACGCATGCATTACGCCTATTTAGGGACTCACGTGGCCTGCGATGTATGCCATCGTCGGACATTGGATACCGCCAGTGGAACGGTCGCGTTTCATGTCTTCCTTTCAAGGTGAGTACCACCGGTGCTAACAACCTGTCTTATGCATTGTAGCGAAACTTCGACACACTCGGCGCCGGATTCGCGCGGGATACTAGAAATCAAATTTCAATTCCGAATCTGTTCACCGTTCCTTCTTTCTGTTTTGGTTTCACCGATGATGGATAATGATTAATATGGTCTGACGCTTCTTTCAGAACACGAGAAGCGGAAATTCGAATGAGAAGCTCATTTTATCCTGTTTCGATACAGAAAAAAGAAAAGAAAGAAAAAGAAAAGAAAAGAAAAAAAAACGAGAGAAAAAAGAATAAACGAAAGGTTTTGTTTTTTTCAGTCAAAATTCACGGATCTACAGATATACAATGCGTACATGCGTTTCAGTCGATTTCGTATCGAGAAATAAACGGTCCTTTCATTTTGTTCTCTGATTGCTTTTTAAGCTCCACGTGGTTGCATTCGCCGGACCGAGGGGTATACTCAACAGCAACCGCTCAACAGCATGAGAAAGGCCGAGTATACTTCCAGCTGGTAGAATCAGCCAGGCTCGACGGCAACATGTTTTGTATACACGTTAATATTTCTCATCGTTATCTATTTTATTCCTTGTCAGTCCTGCCGCCATGGGGAATCTCGTATATGCTTTTGTTCATGACCGACCGATGCATTAATCATCCTTCTCGCTCAAACTTTCCCGGAAACGATCGATAATGATTTATATAACGAAAGCGATATATGTTTAACAATGTTCCATTTCGTTTCATTTATTTATTTGTATCTTTTATTTATATTTTTGTCGCCTTTTCATCCGCGTCGTTACGGCCTAGCCTTGGCGTGTGTAATATCGCGCATCTCTCTGCTGTTGATTACGCGCAAGATTCGCAGAATATCTTTTGTTTCGTTGATCGCGCACAATACGATCGTTGTGCTTTTAGTTCTCAGGTATACGTTATCTTGACGCAGCAACAGAGGGACGGAAGTTTATGTAGTAACCTGCCATATGAAACTCTGTACCATGTTATTAGTCAAGACTAAACTTAAGATAGACAAGGAAATTGTTCTCTTCGAAGAGGTCCATGCACGATGGTTGATTTTTCAAAACTTTTTCTTTACAGCATGACAAGATTACCTGTATGCCTACAGGCACTTGCTATCGTTTCTTTTCTGCTCGGCATGAACTTTAAAATATAGCACAGTTTCCTGAAATATACCACGCGATATTTTGTGAAACTTTTTAATGCATTTTTAATCCAAATATTCATTTGCGTTAATGGAATTTAAAGATAAAACAGTCATACCAAAAGTGTTCCTTTTATACTGGAAAACTGGGAAAGGTGATTTTCCCTTTTGAAGGAACAGTAAGATGAATCTGCATGAACCTCTTTGATGAGTCGATTCCTTGAACTTGTGTTGATCGTTCCAATAAGTCGAATATTAGTCGAAGAAATCCAGTGAGAAGATTATCGATGATATTATGCAGGCTCGTTGCTCGTTGTTCTTGATATTTTCAGATATAGAAGTTTCATTGTCCTATTGTAGCCAGCATTGTCACGTGCGTTCATCCTCATCCCGTCGTACTAAGTCTGTACTTGAATCGCTTTACAGGGTGAAATATACGCCACTGCTGAAGAGCGATCGTCGCCACGCATGAATCGTACACGAGCCAAGGCGAAGCCATTCGACAAGCATCATGTTTCAGCTTCCTTCGGGGTCGTGGGGTGAGCTACTCCTAACATCTAGATTATCTATATTCAGGGTTCAGCTTTGGCATCGGGATAACCTATCCACTGTGCGGATTCATCATCGCTCACTTTGGATGGAGAGCGGTCTTCTATACGACAGGCAGTATTGGTATCTTCTGGTGTCTTTTCTGGTACTTTTTCGCCTTCGATACACCTGCCGCGCATCCCAGAATATCCCAGCAGGAGTTACGTTACATTCAGGGCAGCGTTGGGAACCAAGTTCATGGGTCTAATGAGGTAATTGATCGTAATTTGCTATGTACGAGTTATGATGATATTTTGAAAAATTATACTCGTCTGATTAATCGAATTTTTTATCGTTTTAAGAGTATGCCAGTCCCGTGGGGTTCCATTCTAAGGTCTTGGCCAGCATGGTCAATTGGAATCACAACATTCGGAAGAATATGGGTGCATTACATCTTCATCATCTCTGGACCAATGTACATGAAGACGGTTCTAGGATTCAGTATCCAAGCGGTATATGCTTGAAGCATTCTACTTGAATTTTGTTAGATATTTGTTTTATTTATTTTTCAATTATAATAATTTATGTTATCTTTTCAGAACGGAGTGCTGTCCGGTTTACCTTTCATCTGTAGTTACTTTAGCTCTGTTGCCTTCTGTTACGTAGCTGACGTACTTGTCACACGACAGATCATGTCGTTGACGAACGTTAGGAAGGTGTTCACCGCCTCTTGTAAGGGTCTTTTGAAATTCAGTTTAGTTACAAATATGTATGGTGGTCACGTGTCGAGTAATATCGTTTATTCAACAGCACAAGTAGTTCCTGGTATACTGTTAGTGTTAATCGGCTACCTGGGCTGCAACATCGTTCTCGTTTTAGTAGTGTGGTTCATAGCAGTTACTCTTATCACTGCTGCCTATGCAGGAGCTATGGCGAGCATCGTTGATATCGCGCCAAATTTTGCTGGTGAATAACAAACTGAATATGAATTTTAAAACTGCTATTTTACAAAATGTATTTTCTTATACGCTTTATTTTTACTAGGTCCAATATTGGCATTTGCACAGACAATTCACATGACCGCTAGTTTCCTATCACCGGTCGTAGCTGGTCTCCTCACACAAAAAAGCGTAAGTGACAGTTTTATTTCATTTTAATGTCAGCTTCCTAGGCAATTTTGCATCATTGGGCAAATGTCCTTCTCCTAAAATGGATAATCATACGTGAATTTTTGTATTCTTGGATCACGTTAATCCTTTTTCCTTAGTCTATAACAGTTCGTTGTAATCTTTCATTCAGAAGCTCACAATCTCCGCTTTCATCGTATCCTTGTCAAGAGAAAATGTCTACTTCTATCGCATATTATATGCAACAATCTATTTTTGCGAAAGTAACGCAGAATTAATTTCACAGCAAGCACTCGACGCATGGAGGCAAGTGTTTGGGGTCACTGCATGTGTCGCATGCGGTACCTACGTTGTGTACCAGATTTTCGGTACAGGTGACATTCAACCGTGGAATTATCCTGACCAAAAATATCCGCAATCAGTTCAAGAAGATTCTCAACCGCTAAATGAATCGTCACAAAAGAATGGGATAATTGTCAAGTCTCGGTCAACCACTCCTGAAGAAGCGTAACGCAATCGTATTCACTTGTTGAACAGCAAACAAGTACTCGTGTTATGTTTCGTGTCTAGAACAGCTACAAATACTTCTGCCTGGGTCTCAAAAAGGAGAAAACCTAAAATTATATACATATATATATATACACACACACACACGTATATACATACGCGGGAAATGTCTATTTTTTTCGTAATATCTCTGTATTCGTGTATAGAGAGATGGTAGTTGGTCCGTGATGAAGAAGAAATGATATAGCATTCAGGGTAATGTACGTTGTAACTATTCAAACATTATTTTTATGAAGATGTATCGAGTAACGCGCAAATGCTTCGGTTCTTGCCCATTCTTGCGTTTGACTCCACGGAAAGTTGTATCGAGATAAAAGCACAAAGGCAATGTTAATCGACGATAGTTTGAGTTCTCACGGTCCGAATCGATGATGTGTTAGCGTATTGTCTCTGTGATTAAAACTTTTCTTCGTATTCCTTTTGTGGAATAGATCTCGTAAAAGCATCAAAGCAACAGTCTTCAAAGCTGGAATAGTCCGAATTAATACTTTTTGTCAGTCTCGAATGTTTCTCATTCTAATGTTTCATAATTAGGATCAGTGGTCGCGATTTATAATCTTGAGTCGAAATTTCTATAAACAGAAGACTGATAGATTTTTTCAATGATATATATGCTTATCTAAGCATTTGAAAACCGTTGCTATTTACATTCTTAATTGTTCAAATACTTCCCTGTATAGGTTATAACTTGACGACGACTTAACTAACTGTGGGATTTATAATTGTCTCCGTCTTTCATTATTACGAACATTACTAGGTACTTTAAAAGGTTCTAAGTTGTGCGCTTGTAAGATCGTTCATCCGTAATTAAGAGATTATCGTGATAAGTAATCTCTATCTCTTTCTCTTTCTCTTCTTTTCTCTCTGCAACTTTGCCGGTGATATTTTATTAATTTGTTAGATGTAAGAAAAGGTGTTTGTAAAGATTTCATATAATGTGTACTTAGATAATGTTCACAAAAGCGCCGCATACGTTGAACGTCAAATACGCTATAGAGTAGAAATAGAAAAATGCATAAAGTGGAGAAGGAAAGACAAAAAAATTACATGTACTACACTAATCGATGCCTTGCATTAGCCGGAGTTTACTTTCATTTTTATTAAATGGGTTCAATTAGAGAAATTACTTAATATCTATTTAGTACTTACATTCTGCGATAAGTTAGTTTCACTGTTAACACTTGCTAGTCACGTTTTGCTGAAAAGAATTGAACATTTTAAGAATGGATAAGTGTCTAAAAAGAGGGAGATAAAATATTACATAAAAATGCAAACTTTTTGTGCTCTCTAGAGGTAGTTCTTCTTTGTAACTCGACATTTAATAATTCCATTCATATAAGTTGTACAATGTTAAAAGACAATCTTTTGCAAGTATTGTAATTTTAATTATTTTTATATTGGCGCGGTTTAGATAACGCTAAGCCATATTATTCTCTTTATTCGTTATTTATAAGTACGTTTAAGTTAGATGCGGATACTTAATAACCTGTAGGGAATGAGTAATAAAAATGATTCATATTGCGCAGAATTTGTAGATAGTATATTGCGTAAAACTTAAAATGAAAACGGTCCCATGTATCGGTGTGCGTACCAAATGAATACGAACTGCACGCATAGGCAATTGCCACGTCACTTCTCTTATTTTAGATCTAACAATCTACGTGTACGTTTTCGCGTTTTTGTTCGCCATTCACGCAATCTAAAATTGAAATTTCAGAATTGTTCACGATTAAAAATCGAATCGACACGCGACGTTCATATAATACACAGCATGCATAAAATTTCAATAATTATGGTCTTCGACAATATTGAAAATATCGGTGGACCATTAGTATTTCTTAAACGAACTACGCCATTTTGTAACCAGATTGAGCGAGCGCCATGAAATTAATGGCACAAATTATTCATACGATTATATACATATATATGTATATATGTAGACAAATGTACATATTATGCATATATATGTATATATATGCAAATGCAGAAATATATAATTACATATAATTTCAGTAACCACGGCATTCTTAATTGTTAAACCTATCTTGAGTATTACTGCAGGGTTTTATTTGAACTCTGTTTACGTCTATCCTACACAATTTTTGCGCTGTAACAATCAACATAAGGATTTGTTTGCATCATACAGTATTATCGAAACGCTGATCCTAAGATAAATCAGATAATTGAAATCTTGAAATACACGTTGACGTTGGCGATTCGCGGAGAATATAATCGAATGATAAGTATGATGCAAACGACCTAAGCAACGAGATAAATAATCACATAAAAGAAAATACGAGATTGGGTGTTTATGTACTCAGAGCCCCGTGATGATATTCGTACAGGTATTAATTACGAATAGATATCCCACCATTCTGCTAAACAAACTATTAGGTAACTCTACTATTAAAAGCTCGCGAACGAAAACTTGCAGAATTTATGGATCGTTGTAAAATGTGTGTTTGCCTCTTTTAATAATCAGGCACACTCGTAATGCGACCACCGACGCATAGAAAATTATAAAACAAACGTATCGTATCGTGAATTTACGATTTTTTAATATTCTAGCAGAATATGCTTACCCTGTACGTTTATGTCTTCAGCTCAATATTTTATCGTGTGATTTCATGGACAGGTATATTTGTCAAAAATATTCTAAAGCAATTTTTCAATACACCTATATGTAAAATACTTCTTGACACATCGAACAAGCTCAAGTACTCCTTCTTCAGCCACTTGTCCTTCGAGTTTTTAAGATCAACACGAGACTTCTTACGAAGACCAATCTACATCAACTCCCACGCTCAAATTCGCGGTAGATTTACCAAAAATATCCTTTCACGTGGTAGCGTGTAACAAACGACGCAATCGCGTAATTCGGCTACTCCTAGAAATCGCGATTAGATCAATTGTAGCGAAATTTGTTTACACTGCCACCTGCCGAAGCAGATCCAAGAACGAACGAACAATTAATTACATTGGCAGATCACCGTCATCCCTATCTGGAAGCTCATCGATCCTCGATCCATCACCCAGCAAATAATACTAGATAATCATATCCCGATCACGACTTGAGCGAAACACGTCAGCGATGACCCACGTCGAGCGATTCTCAAAATTACCTGCTGAATAAACGCTTGTTTGTCACAATATACGAGTTCATTGAGTGGTCGTTGACGTCAGAAACCGCCAGTGCGAAGATTAGATATGCACCGACCTAAATATCTCGTCTCGTGGTACCAAATGATAGCGGTTAATCGATGCGACAGGAAAATGGACGAAAAATTCAAGAAAATTTGCGCAGATACAGAGGAAGAGGAGAAGACGATGCGTGGGAAGTGAATGGTGTACTATTTCAGGAACTGTTCTAGGTCAAGAACGTACGATCCGTTGAAAAGGAGGAAATATTCCACGTGCTCGATGCTCGAACTTCGAACTGTGCACGTTGCGATGCGACGTGGAATACTCGTCTTCGTATTGACGATCGATTTCCCGTCGATATCGAGACCGATATCACGGGTACTGTCCATGAGCTGCGCGATCATCGAGTCGAGAGGCACGGATGTTTATCGGAATATCAACGGAGACACGTATAAGATATAAGAGGGCCAGCGAACGCCAGTCAGTGTCGTGCTGGAAGTTGGTTTCGATCGAACGCGATCTTCAGGCCTGATACACATCGTTAGAGATTCAAGAGCAGTCCAAGAACGGAGCAGACATGCGGTGAGGCAAATATTTTGCTTTTCACGCGACCCGTGCGCGTGCTCACTGTTCCATGTTCTAGCAGCTCACTATTTTAATCCGTGGATCGTTTTCTCAGGATCTGGGTGTTATTCACCGTTTTGCTCATCGTCACGGTTCTCGCCTCTGATGGGTTCGCGAAGAAACCTACCAAGGAAGTGGACTCGAGGGGCGGACACGAAAAGAAGAAGAGAGACGTAGCGTACTCGAAGTGAGTTCGAACGGATGCAACGCGAAATGCATCGTGTCTTTTGCACTGTCGCGACAATTGCGCAATTGCTTTGCTCTCGATTGATTATCTCTGTTGACGAACTTTACTATCTTGGCGATTTTTCGCGGCAAATCTCTGCGACGATGTTGGATTTCACTGTTTCAGGGAAGGCACGGAGAAAGACGAAGAGAAGAGGATGCAGTCGAAGAAGAGAAAGAGCAGCGTGTCCGAGGAAAAGAACGTAGAGAGCAAGGCTGAGAACGTTGAGAACGAGGAACCGAACAGAGAACATAAGTCGAGGAGCAAGAAATTGAAGGGAAAGGAAAACACCGATCCCAAAGGAAGATCCAAGCACGATTCTGGGAAGGACAAATCTAGGAAGAAGAACAAGTACTCCGTGGAGTCGCAAGAAGTTCATGAGAAGAACTCGAGGAAGCTGAAGGACAAGAAATTGAAGAACAGGAAGGTCGAAGAGCAAGGTAGTTTAGAGAACGAAAATGTTAGCAAATCCGAGAAAGCGTCGAAGGAAAATAGGAAGGAGAAATCTCAGAAAAAGGGAAAGAAGGTGAAGAAGGTTGAAGAGACGGAGGAGGAGAAGGTGGAGGAACCGATAGAGGTAGAAGTGGAGGAGCCTAAGGAGAAAGAACGTTCGAAGAAGGACAAGAGGAAAGGTGAGCAGAGAAAAGAGGAAAAGAATAGGAAGAAACGAGGAGTGCTGGAGGAAGAACAGGTAGAGGAGGAAGCAGAAGATCCAGATGCGCAGGATGGAAATGAAAAGACCACGAGCTGCGCTGCAGTGGAAGAAACGGAAAACCAAGAAGCGAGAGAAGATTGCGAAGATGGATGTGACGAGGCGTGATGTGTGAATATTTTTACTTGGAGTCATCCTAGTATGTCGTGTTCTATCATTCATGGTTTATCGATAGGTTACTGAAAATATTGAAATAATTTTGCTCAGGTCAATAGGGTTGGTCGGTATCCGCTACGACCAATGCGATTCTCGATATCTCTCATATCTCGATAGACGATCGGCCAATTACAATATTCCACGTTATACGAAATGTCGTTTATTACATCTCTGTCCACATGTAATCGTACAAACGTTAGGTTATTTACAAATACCAGATCGCCGACAATTAATCACCCAAATTCGTCGACCTCTTCGAATTGTGCTGACACAAATACACGGCATAGTTTATCTTCGAAATATACATACACGTTGAAAGAATAAATATTTTTGTAAATCGTTCTGTGAATTTTGCACTCGGAAACCTTTCCCCTTAGCTTTCTTGGGCTCTGAAGGTCGCCCTCCAACCGGTTCCGATATTGCTCATCGATGAGGTGTATTTCACGATCAACCGATTACCGCTGGACACGTAAGACGCGGAATTGTCCTACGAAAAGAAAGAGAAATTCGATTTAAGAAATCTTATCGTACGCTCTAAATAGACTTTTCCATTGCGATTAATTGTATATCTCGATTTCGAGTTACCCCTCCACAGATAGTGGTGCCATGAAGCTCCTCTCCGTCCGATGTCACGTCGTTGATCTGCACGATGTTGTAGGAGTAGTCGCAGGTGTCCTTCGTGCCGATGTCGAGCACTGGGAACTCCAGAGCGATTTTTAGGCCACGTGGCACGCTGATGTCCCAGGTACACACGGAGTTCTCGCGATATTCATTGGGGTACATGGGTGACGTGAATGACCCGGCGTAATTGTATATTTGACCGCCACAGCCACGACCTGGAAACGATTATTTATTATCAAGAAACATTTCGACACGATTGTTCTGTGCCGTATATTTTTCCCCGTTGTATTCCACACCATTTACTATTTTTACTCGATTCGTTCTTATTTGCTCTTCGCACACACGACACTTCTCGTCATCTATAAGACCCTTATCTGCTGTTTAACACGCTCGCGGAGCGATTCTCAAACAACAGACTGATCATCATATATGACAATATCAAACTGTTCCACTTTCTCACCTGCGCTCGTAGTCGTGTACGTGATATCGTATGACTCGTAGGTAGTGTGCCATTTGGACACGGATCGTAGAGACAGCTTGTTCCCTGTACTGAAGATAGGACTGGGCACCTCCAATGAGCATAATGTCGCCAACAGCGTACCATCGAAGTCACCCTCGAATATCTACGCGAACGTATCGAGTAAGAGCAGAATTTTTCTCAGATTAACCGTTTCAGTCCCAAGCAGCGCGATCACGCTCAACTTTGTTGATGCATCTATGTCACATATTACCAACAAGCACTATTGCGACGATTGGGATTTTTCGACATAAAATTAAACAAGCACCGTTTGCACTTTTTCGCACTCGATTAAGGCAAGCGTTATCGTGCTGTTCAGGGTTTTTCGACCGTGTTCTTCCGAAAGCCTGGAGCGCTGCTTGCGACTCAAACGGTTAAGCGCAATGCAAGGTGGGAACACTTACGCGTAAGTAGGTTTCCGTGCACTCGGTCGAGTCGTATATCGTCAATTCGTTGAAGTACAGAGAGATCGTATGGTTCGGGGGAGCTGTGACCGTGAACTGGCAGTCCTGGATACCCGTGTGCAAAATTCGACCTTGCTCCGCCGTGAAATTCCAGGCACACGTCGCCTTGCTATACTCGAGCTTGAAACCTCTATAACCGGATCTCAATCCTTGGAACGACACCTCGACCGTATCGCTGTAACTGGAACGAGATGGACGGTGACTCTTCGAACTGGTAATTCTTGGTCAAATATTTGTTACCTACCTGTAGTAATCGTGAGGCAAATTGTAGCCACAGTATTTATACGCGGTCGACGTCGCAAAGTTGTTCTGTAAATTATTAAATCGTGATTCATAAACGGGCGTACACGAACTTAAACAACAATACGAATGTTAATAGGCTGGTTTCGTTACCGAGCTAAAATATTTCTCCTTCGTCTTTCCATTCCATACGAAGTTCTTGCCGAAGCCTTCCTCGATGTACTTTCGATTCTGCGTGAAAATTATTTTCATGTACGATACTGTAGCATACTATTTTGAGATTTCTTATTTTAGAAAAAAAAGCAAATTATAAACCGATCGATGACCTATGCGTGACATTTTCTAGAAGCAAATGGAAACAGATACCGTCATGAAAGGTTGCCTTTGGTAGCAAAGCTAAGTTGCTCGGTCTCTATGGGGAGGTGAAACGAAGGTCAATAAAATTGTAATGGGAACGAATCGTGAATTCGGAAAATGACGTGCTTTTTACGGGAGCAAGTCGCTAATGAACTGAACCATATCAGCCAATTAGCGATTGGAAAAAGCACGCCAACGAGCTTTGCGAAAAGCATAAAAACAGGACCCTTGACGACACAGGCTGATTGTGAGTCCTTAATGAAGAAGCGTTGAAGAGTCCTCGTAGAAATAGATTGTGACTGGCACGGGTTGTTGGAGAGAGTCGAATTAGGGTGTCTTTTCGTGTGTTAAGGTTACGTTATTTTAGTGTTGTTTTCTTGTGTTAAATTAGTATTCGTATTATTCTGTTCTTATTGTTTTGTCCGTTTCTGGTGTCACAAATCTTTCGCGCAGACTCGATATTCCTTCGATTAAACAAGCAACATATAAATATTTAATTCCTGTACGCTGAAGACAATAAAACCTGTTTTGGGCATTCTACGAAACCAACGATACACGTAAATTTCGTAAAGCCTGAAACAGGTTTCAGAGATTACCTGCATATCTGTGATCTGAACGAAGTCATTCTCGCACGTGTCACTGTCCGGCATATCCATGTCCAAGAACCGAATCTTTAGTTTCTCGGTGCACGTATCGGTACATTTCAATATCCAACGACACCTTGAACCGGGCTCATAGTTATTTGGATAATCCGGCGATGTCAGTATGAGCCTCGTGTCGTTTACGCTTAGAGAAGCGAAGCTGCACAGCGCTAAAACGATTAAATACGAACAATGAAATATTCCGTATTTTTTCACGGACGATCGATGGATCGATGATCGATTGATTTTACCATCTACAGCCTCGAATGTTCCAGTCACACCAGCTCCCTCGAGGGTACCATCGCTGAAGAATCGTAGCCAGAGCGCGTTTGTGCCAGACATGATAGGAAGTGGAGGATCGTTGCCACAGTATCTTCCAAGAAGCTCGGCCAAGGGCCCGGAACCATCGCGAATCTGAACGACGTAGAAAAATATATCAAGAAAGAAACAACGAGAGCAAAGATACTAGATAAAATTTTACCTCGATATAATCGCCCATGCACTCGCTTGTAGCATTTTTGTTCACAGCGTTCTTAACGTCCATGCTATTGATAGTGAATTTGATGTTCTTCCCATTCGGTGCTATCACGCGCCAGTGACAGTCTTCCAGACTATCGTAAGTCGAGCCTTTCTGCGTCTTGAACGACTGACTTCGAATATCAGTTAAATTAACGAAGCCACCGCAACCTGCCGCTACGTTCTTCACGAAAAGTACCTGAAGCACGTTTTTCAAGCTTGCGCGTTAGATCTTCCCGAACAATTGCACAACTCGGGAATTTGAATGGTAAATCTGGAGACAGGGGATTTACCTTTGCGGAGAAGCCTTTGAAATGGAAACTATCGTCCGCGAAGAATTCAACTACCATAGAACTGGAATTAGACTTGAAGATTGGCAAATGTTCAGTCAGATTTCCACACAGCGTAGCCAGTTTATTTTCTTCCAATATTTTTACTTCTTCGTAGACTGTCACTTTATCGTACATACACCTGTCAGACACACGAATCGTTACGAAGTATCTTTCGTCGAATTGAATCTTGTCGTATAAGGTACCTGTAGCTGTCCTCGAGTTCGAATGACTCGAAACGCAGGACGACGCCCTTTTCTTTGGGTGCCCGAATTTCC